GTAGCGGTAGTAGTAGTGGTAGTGGTGGTAGTAGTGGCCGCCGTCCTGGTGGACAAAAACCATCAGAATGACACCACTTAGTATTGAGCATGTAATGATCCGCAAGGACGTACAGGAAATTTGCAGGGGCTGAAATGGCGTATGTTGTGTGTGTGTGTGTGTCTGTCAATGTGTATATGTATATGTATATCTGTATCTATATATATATATATATGTATATGTATATGTATATACATACATATGTATATATACATATATGTGTATGTATGTATGTATGTATGTATGTATGTATGTATGTATATTTATGTATATATGTATTGCACACGCACACACAGAGACACATAAAATGATGACATGTATCGGTACACCGTATGTGTGCATTGAGTTGCAGCCCCGTCTCTACACAATGAGCTCCTCCTTTTCCAATAAATGTCTGTATGTTTATGTATGTGTATATATATATATGCATACACGTACCTTTTTTTAAGTCGAAGTTTATGCCTGCGTTATGCATGTGCCTCTCCATTCATAGCTTCTCTTGACTCTCGTGTATGCACAACATGAAACGACGGCTGCCAGTGCACAGGGGTGTTTAAATTCAAGCCAACGTGAACCGGATGATGTTTCTTCGTTGGCTAGGGTTCACACCTTGTTGAAATATATTCCTTGGCTCTTGAGCGTCATGTCGAAGTGGCGTTGTGAGGCTGGGTCCGACTTGTGCTGCAGGCTCCTCGGCCCACGACATCCGACGGCCGGGAGATCCGCACCATGGTGGGCATTCAGGTTGTCTTGTTATCTTGTCGTTGCAGACATTTGTGAGCTGCGCAGGTTTGCAAGCGAATTGTCCGACCAAGCAGGAAACGGAGCTGATGATCGCAGCGGCATTTTCCCTGCGCTTTGCCCCAACTTCGCCCGCTCAGCCTCGCCTCGGTCGGCCCGTTGAGATGGCCATAGCATGCTCGACTAGCGGCTAGGGTGTGGCCAGATGGGTAAGGCATTGCAGACTGCTGGCGAAACCTTTCCTACCGTTCTTCGAAGTGCTTCGTTTTCTACTGAAGCCTTCGATCCCCAAAGTTAGGACCGAAGCTGAAGCCTGGCTGAAGAGCCCAGGGACCCCCGAGTCTTCCTCGATCCTCTTCAGCCCGGACCCTGCGGGGCTCAGTGAGGCCTTGGAGCCTTTGGGTTTTTGAAGCCTAGACACTGAAAAAGTCAGCTGTTTGTGTGCGAACTGCGCCTCGGATAGGCAGTCGGTGAATTGCAAATTTGGAGCTCCTTCTGTGAGCCTTGGTAGTCTTGATGGGTGCCTATGCGAGATTTCTTTTGGGGCATGCCGTGTCCTTACATGGCAAGGTAGAGCCGTTCTTGCTGCCAGGCTTCCACTCGCTGTGCAACGGCCGACAAGGCAGGAAAAGCGGCGCCCGCTGCTGCATGTTTGGATGCACGCATGCCTTTGCATGCATGCTGTGTCTGCGCGCATGTGGATCCCTACTTGCATCCTTCAGTGTATCTCGTCTCTGTGTTGTGCTTTCTCTTTTCAACCAATTTTGTGAAGTCTTCTGAGCATACACCCACGCATGCGCACATACATACGCACGCATTAGTACAGACATGCATGAATGCTGACTTACATGCATGCGCACATCAGTGCATACGGTCATGCACGCATGCAAGCATGCATGCATGCATGCATCAATACAAGCCTTACAAGCACAATTACCTACATACAGACACACATACATCCAAACAGCCGCTATTAAGTTGTCGAAAGGTAGATACACAAGTAAGTAGCTAGATGGACTGGCGTCGACTGTGAGCTTTGCACGAAGTGCGCCTATGTCGCGACTGGAGGCACCTAAGAGTTTGGTGAAGCGGATTTCTCTTCAAGAGACTCCATGCCCCAGGTTCAGGTGAGGACAGTGGAGCTGCCAAAGGCTCGCGCCTCCCCTTTGTCTGCCACTTCAGCCTTCACTCAATGTCCCTGAGATGGGGTGCCATGTACGGATCTTGATCTTGATGGTTGTAGAAAAAAAGCGGCTCATGCATACTCATCAAGCCCTTCCGGGAGGGATCATTGGTAAATGAAAGTTCACTTCCCCTCCAAGGCGTCATCATCATCATCATCATCATCATATTCATCATCACCATCGTCATCATGACCGTCTTCACCATCATCGTCATCATCATCATCATCGACACCGTCATCTTCATAAGTGATACCATCAAATCTAGTGCATCTTTTTTCCGAAGCCGTTCAAAGGCTCAATGGTGCCAAACCAGACATGTTTCGCTGTGCAGCATGGGCGAGAGATTTTGGACACCCGGCAGAAAGCGACGAAGAAGCTCCGCTCATGTGCAGCTGCAGCTCCTTCTGTCCAGCACTCCGCGCCTGTAGTTACTCCCGAGCGACGTACTACAACACTATAGACATTCGTGCAGCAGGGCCGCAACCCTCTGCTTGAAACACTTAAACCATTAGCAAAGCCGCGCGGCATCATCCCACTCCCTTTGTCTTATGCTTGCACCTGGCCGGCTGTCCAGCAGCAGGACTTCGAAGGGCGGCTGTGAGCAGTTCACAGCTCGTCAGGCTTCAAAGCTAGAATGACGGTAGCAATCTCAGGCACACTATGGAATTTCGAAGGACGTGGCAGAAGTCTTGTTGATGAGTCGCACTATGTGCGTGGAGCGGTTCATCCACATGTCAGCATCATGAGACCCCGCTTTGTCAACATCGATGCGCAACGTGCTCCGTGTAACCAGAAAGATTGGATCTTGCCCGGCGCCGTCCGAAGGTTCCTGTGGGTAGCAAAGGTCTTCCAAGGAAGCCCCTGTGCGAAATGCCGAGTCTACAGCCGGGCGAAGCAGCCAAATTGCCCCAACTTGAGTTTCAGCTTCAGAAGCCCAAGATGTTAGGTACAGCGGAAGCCTTCATCAGCCGCCTCACGGATAAAGGCAATCTAGAACAGCCACAGCCCTGTCATCAAGTAGTTGTCCACCGCGCCTTGGCCCTGGATTTTTCACTCATGGAGTCAGCGTCGGGACGTGTCCAGGCCTGGCGAGGGCAGTTCTTTTTCAGGATGCAAGCAGCCAGCAGATGCCTACTTGTGTCAAGTGGCAGCAGCCAATGACACCAGTTTTCTGGGGAGGGGCTATTCTACCACGGGAGCAGACATCTGCAATTTGGCATACCTCCCAGCTAGCTGCTACTTCGTTACCAATTACTGTAGCCTTCATTGTGCGGAGGTGTGGGCCCGCGTCCGGCCTCCGATCGCACAGGTGCGGGGCCACTGGTCTGAAGGGTGGCCGTCTGGCAGAAAGCTTGAAGCTATGACCTTCGCCTGAATCACTGAAGTTCCCTGCAACTGCTTCAATCACCTGCAGCAGTTCCTTTCAAGCTGTGACAGGACCATGGCCCCTGTACTGCCGTGGACTGCTGCGAGTCGACGAAGACGGCCAAGCTTGCCTCATTTGCCCATCATTCCTTGATCGAGCCCGATACCTAAACGGCTGGCACGAGAATGCCTTTGAAAGTATCTGCCTGTGCTGCTGCTGCTGCTGCAGCTGCTGCTGCTGCTGCTGCTGCTGCTGCTGCTATTGCTGCTATTGCTGCTGCTACTGCGGCTACTAGTATGAACGCTCGCGCCAGTGACAGTACTATGTACTCGTGCCATGAGTTGTAGCAGTAGAAGCACAGCAGCAATAGTGGTGCAGGAGTAGGCGTGACAGCAAGACCAAAACACTGGTTCAGATGACGTCACCGCCTCTCCTCCGAACAGTGGGCCGAACATCCCACTTGCAGCTTTCGTTGCGCAGCCAGGTGCGGGTGCGCAACGACGCCGAAACTGTCGAACGGCTCCTTGCTGGCCAGGCTGACGGCTCACGTGAGTCTGGACGGTGTGATGCCGTCGTTGAGAGCAGCAAAGAGAGGCTTCCAGCATTCCATTTCGTCTCTCATGTGCACAGCAATGCAGGCAGAACTGACATCGTCTTCACCCGAGCCGAAGGTGGCTGGATGGGGCTGCATCGCATTGTGAAACTTGTTGCGACATCTTTGGTGTCGTCGGACGAGTCTTTTAGCTGATGTGAGATATCTGGTTCTGACATCACTAGGCCCGTCCAGAAGTGAAACGGAGCATTTCACGTTGTTGAGCTGTTGATCTGCAGCCACAAGATTCTTCCCGCCAATTCCTCCTTAGTTTAGCTGGTCATGGCGCAGCGCCGTGGACGTTCGGGGGTGGCGCTGCTGGCTGCGGGTGCTCTTTTGTTCTGCGCCTTGCCAGCCTTCGTCCCTCCTCTTAGCCGCCGTGCTGCGTTGGCGGCCCCAGCCGCAGCAGCGATGCTCTTGTTGGGTGCCGAGACAGCAACAGCGGACGTGTCGGCCTGCAACCCCGGCGCCAACAATTGCTGGTCCACCCTGTCCACAGACAAGACGAAGATGAGCCCTTGGAAGTGGCCAGCAGGCACGAGCAAGGCTGATGCTGTCAGCCAGCTCAAAGCAGCCATCGATGCTTATCCACAGGCTGGGCAGGGTGAGGTGGACTTGGGTGGCTACTCCTACGCAGTCGACACCCTTGCCGACAAGGGCTATGCACGCCTGGAGTTCAAGTCGGGCATTGGCAACTTTGCTCGATTCTTCAACGGTGGCCAGCCCTTCGTGGATGACTTCGAAGTGAGCGTAGGAGACAGCAGCGTAGCCGTCAAGAGCGCCTCGCGACTGGGGGACAGTGATTTCGGGGTAAATGCCAAGCGATGCAACTACATCGCAGCCGCACTGAGGGCAAAGGGATGGGACGCGCCGGACATCAAAGCCTAGACGGCTTAGAGTCCAATCGCGTGGAGGAACCCCGGAAAGCATCCGAGGCCTCGGCCCCTCACGGCATTGTGTGCTTGTGATGTATAGACTTGCCCGCGCTTTCTCGCATCTACGCGCGGGCTTGAAACAGTCCCATTTTCGCAGCCACGGCATGCCCAACCATGGATTCCTGCGCACCCTGCTGCCAAACGAGCACAACATGCACCGGACATTATTGTGCGCAAAAAATCTGTCGTGCTGGGATGAGGGTGGGATTCCCGAGAGGGTATTGTCTTGATTTGAACGCGGGGCCACGCTGTTCTGTCAGAGAATCGGGAAGTCTCTGATCTTTTGTAGAGGTAATCATGGCAGCACAAGGCTCAGCAGGGTGTGACATGCAGCTTTGTGTTGATCCCTACCCCCGTTGACAGTCCTGCAGGAGTTTGCCTTCGATGGAGTCTTTGGGGAGCAGTCAGCCGCTCCGACCAACTGTGGAGGGCTAGACTGTTGCAGTAGGCAAGCTCATGAAACATGTCGGGCTCATGAATGTCCGACTTGGGATGAAGTGAAGAAGGCGCACACGGCTGTCTCAGGAGCTCTGCAAAAGTCTTAACTCTAGAGTTGGCTGCCGTTGCGGCAGGGGCACTCAAAGTAGTTTTGAAGTTTGAGCAATTTATAGGGGCCCGGGCTCAGTGGGTTTGGCGGGTGCAGGACCTGCAAGTTGCAGCCAAGCCCCAAGGCGCAGCGCGATGTCTTCATGCAGATCGGGCTTCCGGTCCTGCGCGAGGCATGGAAGACGGGTTCTGGGGATGCCTTGCAAAGAAATCGTAGTTGTAAAGCCACGTGCCGCCGCCTGCTCCTCGCAGCGGGCCTGAAGCATGTCCCCTAATTGTCAAAGAAAACCACAGACACTCAGTTTGAGCTTCAAGCTTACCGCTCCGGTAAGTCTGAAAGAAGTTTGACAGCTCGAGGCTTTGCGGGGCATCAATGGAACCGTTCTTGCCTATGGGCAGACGGGCTCCGGCAAGGCAGGCAACTGCCCACCGCGAGATTCATGCACGGCTGGTGTACCACCAACTAATCTTCTTGCGGTGGTGGGATCCTTCCGCGCACAATTGGGTCAGAGCCAGTATAGCATTCGTGGTACGCAGGAGTCTTCGAATAAGCCTTCCTTCTCCGGGGTCGTCTCTTTCTCGTTGCAGTCATGAGGCCCCAAGGGTCAGGATCCGGGAATCTGGGTCAACTTTTAATGGATGCAGGCGCAGACCCTTCCAAGGATGACCTGAAGAAGCATCTTCAGTATAGATTAAGGCAAGTAGTGTCGGAAGACGCGTCACACACCTCAGACCTCCCATTCTCCGATGCCGGGTCGCACAGCTAGCCTAAACCCTAAATAAACCCTAAACCCTGAAACCTAAACCCTAAACCCTGAAACCTAAACCCTATAAAACCTAAACCCTAAGACCTAAAGACTCTCTGATGCCCAGACTCATTCGCTGCTGCACCAGAGCTCCAAAGGCGAAGAGGCGCGCCGAAGTTGATCGGGCAAAAGGCATGTCTTCTCATGACACTATGTTTTGGGGTTTCCTTATTATAACTATAGTAGAATGTACACCAAATCCCTATTATAGTCATTGAGGCTTCTAAAGGACTCTCGAAACTCGCTGAGTCGCAAGTCGATGGAACTTGTTGAGTGCCTTTGACATGGCGGACCTCTCCAATGAAGAATGGAACCAGAGCAACGGTAGCCACTGGTATGATAAAGTAGGAATCCTAGACCCCTAAACCCCTAAACCCTAAATCCCTACACCCTAAACCCCTAAACCCTCCACTCACTCACGATCATTAGCCAAGATCTGAAAAACTCACTGACAGACTCCGACCAAGGCGGGGCTCCTCCCCCGCCTCGTGGCCTCCCTGTCTGCTGGGCTGCAGAAGCTTAGGGCACTTTTAAACGTAGAGGGTCCGTTTCAGGGAGGTTGTGGAGAAGGGGCTTCAGGTGATGTTTCGATCGGAAGATGGAGGCAGAAGGAGACTCCACCACTAGGGTTTCGGGAGGGGTGGACTAACACTCCTCGTCCTACCTCCCCTGAGCCTCGTAAACACACCCTCAGACCCAAAGCTCCGGTACTTGTAGGCTCTCTTGGCCTGATGAGATCCCAGGTTTTTGATGATCAGCCAGGATGTCGCGAATGTTTACGATATCGAGGCAGCAGCCGTCCAGGCTGGAAAGGCTAAAAGGGGAGCACGCGCGCGCCCGAGCGCGCGTGACCGGATGCTTTCTTGGACCGTTAGCTTCATGTCAGGGTATTGCCTCCTTGCCACTGTCACATCAGCAGATCTACAACGAACAAGTGGACGACTTGCTGAACTGTGAACATCAGAGCGGCATCGGATGCTCGCCCTGACTGTAGCACAGCAATGGCCCTTGGATATCCACATCTATAGCGGCAATGAAGCCGCATACGCACGTGCGCCTTGTTCCTTGCTGCCTCAAGGACACAATCTGAATGTTCGGGACGGCGGCATCGTCAACGGGTTGACGTGGATTCGATGCACGAAGCCCGACGAGATGCTCGCCGCCAGCCAGCAAGAAAGACCACTCTTGCAGATCGTTTCGCTAACAGATTTTCGTCTAAGGAGGGCAGGGACACCGAACCTGGAACACGCCATGCTAAAGCCTCCCCCTCTCTCTCTCTCTCTCTTGACACCCACAGATGCTCTGCGTTGCCCAGCACATCTGGGAGGAAGCTTTCACACGAGCTCGAGCCAATGTCGTCTATGCTGAGACCAAGATGAACAAGGCCAATCTGATCGCGCCAAGTGTTCAGGGCAGAGGCACAGGCAATGGCACTGTAGTGGCGGTTCTAGGGCTCTGTGCGACCGATTCCAAGCAAGGCATGTGCTGTCGGCGAGTGTTTCCCACAAGGCTTCCAGCCGCAGCCATGCGATCTTCCAGCTTCGCATCAGCCACTCGGTCTTGTGAACTATGATGGAAGGACTTCTGAGAACACACAACTTTTGCACAGCCCATCCTGGAGTCCACTGTGCAGGGGCTACTGTTCTCTTGTTGTCGTCTTCTTTATCGTCCTCTGCTGCTTCTTTTTCTTACTGCGACATCGGCTTTGGTGCGGCTGTTGCTCTTACGATAACTGCTGCAGCTCTGGCAGGCAAACGCGAGCGCGTTTTCGAAGCTGCAAAGACGGGTCAGAAGGTGGAGTGCACCATTGCGAGGCCGGGCTTCGATTTTTCGTTATGCGCAGGACTACGCCTTTTCGTAACCGTTAGCCGTTAGCATGTGTGTTTTGATCATTTTTGGCGGGCTGCAGAGATGTGGAAGTCTTGCTGGAGCATGCCTGTGCGGAGGCTGAATGTCGTGGACCTCGCTGGATCAGAGCGCGCCACGGCCCTCAGAACCGGCTAGAATGCAGCGACTCTAGCTTACCGGAAGATGCCATTGCCGTGGTGCAGTTTGCAATTTCACAGCTTGGGATTTTGTTGTTGGCTGCTGTCTTTGGCGAAGGATGGTGCGAGATTCCGGTGTGCCGAGAAAGTCCACTCCGACCACATGTCAACCCATAGGTGAAAGAGGCAGCCGGCCACAGCTCAAAACTAGACAGCAGCATCTGAATATTCTCCGATTTCGCTTGCCAAGTGAACACGAGCAGCAGCTGAAGCGTCAAGGTCAAGAAGTCTGGCTCCGAAGGCATGCGCTTTCAGGCGTCGACGCGGTGGTTTAGGGTCTTGGGCCATGTGATGCCATGTGTTTCGCATCTAATCCATATGCCACCTGTCTTCAGATGAATCATACTGCTCGCTCGTGCCAGGAAGCCACGAACATCAATCGAAGCCTTCTGGCTTTCGGGACCCTGCCATTGAGAGCTTTGAGAGTGGCTCGGGGTCCCGTTCCTTCATTCCTGTGTCAGGCTACGATCGGAGTATCGATCAAGCGACTTGCGCTGCCGGGTCATGAGAAGTGTGAATTCATGTCTCGCCCTGCACGTATCTCCGTTGCTCAGAGGAATGTGGTCAGCGCCCTGGCCGCGCGCAAGTCCCACATACCCTTGCGAGACAGCAAGCTCACCAGGACGTAGTCCGTGGTTGAGGTGGCTAAGCCTCTGAGCTGATCACCTATGTCAACGGGGTAGCTGTGGAAGCTGAAGCTTTGAGAACCTGAGCAGTTGAAAGATAAGCAAAGCAGATAATCGAATCTAACTGGCGCCAAGAACAGTACTTTACGCACATTTGGTAGTTGGAGTATAGCTATTCTGACGCAACACCTCTCGCGCCGTTCAAGCTCTGTTGAAATTTTAGCAATTGTTTTAAATTATCTTGGTTTCTGGCAGGATCCTCGATGGCTCTATCGGGGGGAACTGCCGCACAGCGCTGCTCGTGTGTGTGAACCCGGCCTTCGAACACGTGCCCCACCTCTCGCTTGGCAAGTGAAGACGGAACATCTACTGAATCTACTGCATAGTCACTCCTTGGATTGGACAGACCGTGACCGCTTGTTCACAGAACGTGAGCTTTCAGCGCTACCAGCTACCACTGCCAGGTCGGTGAGACCCAGAATACCCTGGAGTTCGCATCGAGGGCGACGCGCGTGGAGGTCAGGGGCAGTGCACCGGGAAGAAGACAACCAAGGGAGTCCATCCTTTGCTTTAGGACAGTTTCTCCTGATTCAGGTTGACACTGCATCCCGGGGTCATATTAAGGCTCTCAAAGTTCAAGTTGTCGGAACTTGAGTTGTCGAGTGTTGGGCTGTGGCAGACCTGATCTTCAGGTGGACGCCAAGGTCAACACGGCGTTGGTGGAAGTCAGTGCCAAGGCGGTGTGCTCACCACTCAAAGCCATTGCGCCCGGCATCTGTGCACACATCGTCTCTGTAAGAATCGGGACCTTAAACCATCCTAAACCCTAAACCCTAAACCCCTAAACCCCTAAACCCAAAAGCCCGAAACCCCTAAAAAACCCATAAAGTCGTAGCTATCCCTGAACACAAACCGGACGGAGTTCCCTGGCAGACCCTTCTGGCCGACCTGAATCCCGAAGCCCACGAGTTCGGCAAGAAGGCCAGCTCAGAGCTTCCGCAGCACGTCTTCTTCAGAGTCCCATCAATTGTTGAAGAAATGTTTGGTAGTTTAGTAAAATCCAGCAAAAGCGTCAAACCGGACCGGGCAGAAGCAGAAACAGCGAGAGCATGACGTGCAATTACGTTTCATTGGCGCTTAGCGCGGAGAGCCGCGGGGCAACTGTTGGTCAACCAGCACCCAGCATGACTTAGCCGTCATGATGCCTGCTGCTGTGCTGCACCAGGTTCAGGCTGACAAGAAAGAGATCGAGGCCATGTTTTGTCTTAGTAAGGGCTTAAGGTTTAAGGGTATAGTGATTTAGCGTTTAAGGGCTTTAAGTTTTACATGCTTAGTTCCGGGCTCTCAGGGACTGGTGTTGCAGTCGTCCTTGTACTTCATTGAGTGCCCGACTGCTACAGGAGATAGCTTTCGACAGATTCGGAATGATGTGTTTTTTTTATGTTTACTCTTCTTGATTTTGTCTTCTTGCCAGCAGGAAGGGCTGGTTCAGGAAGGGCTCGTTTTTTCAAGCGCAGAGTTCCAAAACGCAGCCAGACCCGCAGGCCCCGCACATCTGCACAGGGGCACCAGTGGTAGAAAGACTAGGAACAACGAGAACAAGTGCTAAGAAGAAGCAGCAGCAGCAGCAGCAGCAGCAGTAACAACAGCAGTAGTCGTTCTGACACACGTGATGACAGTGCCACCAGCAGAAACGGCAATGCTACTACTCAGTCATGTCAGTCGGAGTTTTAGCAGCAGTCGGCCGCCATTTTCATCCTCATCATCACCATCATCCCATCACCGCCATCATCATCAGCACACGTTCCAAAAATCATCTCCTTGGTGCGCCAGGCCCTCCGCAAGCAGACAGCCGATGCAGCCGAACAAGTGGGAGTCTCGAGGTGTAGGCATAACGGAGCAATGTGGATTAGGATTCTGAGAGCTTCGAGTTTCAGGGTGCAAAAGAGAGTGGTTTGGGGTGTGGCAGTGGAGGGTGTCATGCAAACACATAGTGGTCAGAGTTCGAAACAGCTAGCTGGACCTGTGCCCCAACCAATCTGCGTATGTTCGGGTTGGAGCTCCCCCTCCTCCCCTGAAATTATGCCCTAAAGTTTCAAAGCAGCACTACAGCCACTACGAACAAAAGCCTTTAAATCCCGTTCAAGGGCCCTTGATAAGCTGAAATCCTGAAGACCCCGGCTGACTGTGAGTAAGGCGAAGCGAGAGGCAGAGAAGCGCGAGAAGGCCAGGCCGATAGGGGCAACACGAAAAACCTGGGTAGGCCTTTTGGATATTTTATATTTTCCCTTATTGGGCTTGAGAGGACCCATAGGACCCTATTTCCTAATATTTTTCGGAGGCTTTAAGGCCAGGCTTGCTTTTTCAGTCTTCCCTCTTAGCTACGGGGGCCTGGGAGACAAGAGCTCATCCTTCAAATCCAGAAGGCCACCCAACTCCTTGCCAGCAGAAGCAGCTGCTTTGTGCGTTTGGTCCTTGGTCCCTTGACGTAAACATGCTTACAGGCCGTGCAGGAGGCGGAAAGCAACGTGAAGAAGCTTCAGCAGGCACAGTCTTGATGCACGCAGTGCCGCTCATTGTCACTGAACAATGTCGTCATGCCACAGCTTCGATCTGAGTCTGTTTTAAAGATGAACCGCCCGACTAGTGATTCTGAATTGGGCAGACCTGTCGCTGCGCAAACCCGCTTCCTGCAGCCGTTGTCCAAACACAGAGTGTAGCGAGGCAGGAGATCATGCAGGCATCGAGGCAGATCATCAACCCACCCAGAGTTGTAACAGCACGCATGTGAAAGCCAAGGCTTTCTTGTATACAGGGGGTAAGATCTTTGCGAACCACTCGCATTTGCCATGGCCGTTGTCGTCGTTTCAGCGCCACCACGCCCGCTGGTGTCACTGGACTGCGATGCAGAACTGCATGCAAGCAAAGTGCGAAAACCCATCCTTCCAGTCAGTGTTTACAGTGCAGCTCTTGCAGCGGAGCCCCTGGGCTGTGGCGTGGTTTTTGTTCCGCAATCCGGCCCAAATCCTCGTGAAGTAAGAACTTTGCTCCCCAAATCCGTGAAATTGCCGCAAGAAGAGGCGGATTGAGACATGAGTATAGTCAGTATAGTATTATACGCTCCATGCTGCCACTGCATAGCACATGGTTTGTTCTCAATGATATTCTGGAACCCTGCTCCAACAGAAGAACATTCCCGCCCTGCAGATTTCCTGCCGTGGATCTTTTCATGCAAGCGCATGTTGAGGTGTGCTCCCGGCGCCACCGTGGAGGTGTCCTGGGCGCTTCGTGCCACAGAGGCCGGCTTTGTCATTGCCCGTGCTCCGTGGTTACAAACAGAGAGGGCCAGCGTGCCTTTCAGTTTAGGTGTCTTCCTGCACCTTTGTGCAGATCCACGATGTCACTATTGATGAGGGCATGAACACAACCGTAATCCCAACGTATGTATCTATCGACAGAGCGATTTAGGGGCGCCACCTGTATCAAGCCTGGTGGTATGCACTCCATGACTTGCTCTGGGATGCTGCCCACAGAGCCGTGTTGCAGCTCAGGGCTTTGCGGCCGGTAGTATTATCGTATTAGTGGCGATCATGCCGCCGGGTAGCAACGTCGCCATGGCTTTCGCCCTGGCGGCATACCGTTGGGCGGATCACCGCCGAGCGGCTCGTGCAGTGGCCATCGCGGTGCTTCTTCTGCTTGCGCGCCTCTGGCAGGGCGTGCAACGACGATTGTATGGTGTCCACCGCATCAGGCTTCCATTGAAGACTTTGCTTCCCCAAGTGCCCGCAGCGGCACCGGAGACAACAGCGTGTCAGGGCAATGATTGTGGAGCGGACGAAGTGAAAGCCGAGGGCGGAGAAGTCTTGTCAGTGATCTACCAGTGCACGGAATTCCGGGTCGGGGATTATGTGACTTACCCTGACGACCACCGCGGCCAGATCATTGGTATCGATGGAGATGGAGACGTGATGGTGCGTACTACTGGCGGCCGCGAGGCTGTTTGGTACATCAGCAAGTGCACCAAAGCCCTCAGCGCGGGGGACAGAGTGCAATACCCTTGTGGAGAAGTGGGCTCCGTGATGGCGTTCGATGAAGACGGAGACCTGCTTGTGCAAAAATCAGACGGATCCAGCGCACGTTGGTTTGCCCAAAAGTCGACAAGACTTCTCAGCGTCGGAGATGCAGTTCAGTACATCGCCGGCGACGGGGCAACCGTCATGGGCTTTGATGCAGACGGGGACGTGATGATCGTTACACCAAGTGGACGCAGGGCCACCTGGTTCGCGAGCAAATGTTTCTGAGTTTAGCGAGTCTTTTCATTCCTTCTCTGTCCTGTGCACGGTGCGTTGAACATACAAACACAGCCGCATGCAGCTAAATCTTGCAGCGTTGTCGACTGTTTTCGCACATTCGTTTCACCCGGGCTACGGCTTCCAGGCAGCAGAAATCGCTTCGAGTTGTGAGCTGAAGAGCCTTTTGCGGTGGTATGGAAAACGAGCTGATTCGGTGGGAAGGAACCAGTCCAGTGCTGTCCAGTTCGATATTTTTCCGACACTTCACATCACTTCACAGCGCTCCCACTAGTGGGATATGCAGCATTCCTGTCTAGGCTTTCTTTTCCATCATGCCTCAGAACCATGGTGCACAATACTCTACTCCTAATGCTCCCCAGGCCTTGGTACCTAGGCGGGGTTTAACGCACTTCACCTGATCAAAATACTACAGCACAACATCTCATAGCTGGGCGTTCACAACTTTGACACCAGAGTGGAGCTGTACAGTACATCAGCCGGTTTCTCCAAGATACTCTGACATCAAGCACTTGATGAAAAGCTTGATCCAGTAGGTACCCAACTTTATTATCGCTAAAAATCGTTTACACTTCTGCCGAACCTAGCGAATTGCCATATAGGGTGCCACGAAAGTATTAACCACAATACCTTTGTAGTGCGGTTTCCGACCTTCCACGGGATACACTGAGTGCTAATTAACTTCCATCATGTCCGCTAGCCGCTAGCACATCTTCTGGGGCAGGATGTTGACGGAACTTCGCCATGATTGAACTTGTAGCCTCTTCCCTCGCAGACTGGTCAGTAGCCAGATTACACATGGGTTCCACTGTTTTGGCCATGGGCTGAAGTACGACAACAGCTGTGGCACCCGCCGGTGTTTACCTTCAGCTCACGTGAACCTCTACATGCCAACTCCGAATGCGGAGTCGCCTTGGCCGGAGGCGCTTGCCCCTGGCGCATCCCTGTGCGTACGAGCCACGGAGGCCTGCCCGGAGAACCACAGTTCTCCCAGTTTTCGCAGTTCTCCTGGCTTTGGGAAAGTATTGACAGTACTATGAGTACTATGTATAAAATATGCATATTGTTCTATGTCTATGTTTCAGCATGCAACATCGAATAAACAGAGTAGAACTTTACTGACAATCGTGATGCTGACTGCAAACTCGGTCCTCAGAGCTGCCGTCAGCTGCATTGAGCGTACTGGCCACCAGCTAGTCGCAGCAGCAGCAGCAGCAGCAGGAGCAGGATCAGGAGGAGCAGGAGCTGTTTTTGTTTGCCGTTGCTGCTGTTGTTGTGGTTGTTTTATTGGAGCTGTGGGTGGTGGCAGCAGCAGCAGCAGCAGCAGCAGCAGCAGCTTGACCTGGCATCCCAAGCCCAGTACATCCGCTGAATCATCAGGAATCTCAGCAGGGATGTGTGGCGAGAGTGATATGACTGATATGGATGTGCTGCCAGGCTGCGGTTGTGACGGTTCCCGACACAGCCGAGGGCTCAGTTTAGTGCAAGCACATCCTGCCCTAAACCCCCAAACCCCAAAAAATAATGCTGCGATGGTCTCGGCGGGGTCTGAGGGATGGCAGGTTGAGGTTGAGGGTACTGCCACTGGCTCCTCCGAACTTGGAGTTCCCAATGCCAACCCAGGAACAGGGCCTTCAAAAGCAGGGAGCACCGAAGTGCCCTAAATCCCCAAGTCCTAAACAATTTAAACTCCTAAAGCCTTGAACCCTTAACCCAAAACAGTAATTAAACCCTAAACCCCGGATATCTTGAACCCTCTGAGGTCCCTGCAGGCTGCACCGTGGAGCTTGCCTTGGAAATCCCGGCCCCCAAAGTCACCGGTGCCGTGGCGCCTGGGTCGGGAAAATGCTGATGAGAGATTTAGAGCTTAGGGTTTAAGGGTTTATAGGGGTTTAGTTAAGTTGAGCAAAAAAGCAGCCAAGCTGTAAGACACGAAGGTGAACAGGAGTTGAATGATGATAGCCAGGACTCTGCAGTTGTGGCCTTTCTGGCAGCAGCAATGTGAATGCTGATGAAAAGTAATGGTTGTCGCCAGAGCAGATAGCAGTCGAATGGGTGTGGCCACTCTCTTTGTCTCGGTATATTATGTAGGTGTGAGTTTGCCGTGCTGCTGTAGCAGTGATTGAACTTCGCTGTTGCTGCTGTGCACGTCAGATGCTGTTGTTGCCGAAATCCACCTCATGTCAGTTGACTTGCACTCAGACCAGGTACTAGTAGGCATGTCCCTGCAGCTCTCTTGCGAAACTGAGAGATGAGACGAAGGTCTACGACTTCGCCTTCCGAAGCTCCGAGGGCCAGCTCATCAACGACAACCTCTCGCTGGTGTTGGACATCAGGCCCGCTGCTACTGCCACCCCCCATGACTACCTCCGTTCCTGCGACACTGTTACGGGTCCTGCTCCTTTCGACCATGACGACGAAAACTGCTCGTGCTGCTACCCTACGGGTACAGACTTGAGACATAACTACCTCGGATTCGACCGTAGTGACAGCCTCTGTTCAGGGACGAGCCTGAAGAGCGCCGAGCCTTGGCTGCCCGAGAACTCCTCTCTTTTTGTTGGTAGTCTCAGTGCAGGTTGTTTTGAACTCGGACTCCACTTAAGGTATTTGCTTGGAACGACGATGTCTAGTGTCTTCATGTTTTCAGTCGCATACTTCCAGGATGTGCCAGCTCTGCAGCAAGGAATGGAAGTATCTTACCACCCGGAAAGGGCTCAGCTGCTTGCTTAGCATTGGAGCTGTGAGTCCTCTTGCAGAGGAGCGCCGGCGCATCCCAATCTGGGTATCTTCCCTGGGGCACACACCCGGAAGTAGCTGGGCAGCAGACGAAGCAGGGCAGGAGTTGGCTCGTTTCACTTCTTGCTTTTCTTGACCCATGTCGGAGGTCGTGGCAAGAAGTCTGCACCCTCTGTAGACTAGCACAAATTACGGTTCTACATGCACTACATCGTTGCTTCCGTGATTTGCTGAGTGGTTCTACACCGAGGATCTACTTCGGAGCCGCTCCCGCCCTGACAAGCACCGAGCCCGTGGCCGTGGAACCGCCGAAAGTCAGGTCGGAGAGGCCCGGAACAGTACATGTACTGATATATATATATATATACATACATATATATATATATATGCTCTCGGGTCCCGGGCCACCCACCCCCCCTGTGGCCCACGCCCGCCGCTCGCCAGCCCGTGCTGCTGCGGATGGTGGGTCCGGCAGTTCCCCTCCCCACCCCTATGGTACCCAACCCATGCTCTGTGCACAAAGCAGAATCTGCGCAGCAGTAGTTTCCCGCACCAGACATGCACTACAAGCATAATTATGAGGGTGGTACTGATGATGAAGATGACGACGACACTGATGGTGTTCAGCATGATGTCAAAAATGATCCGATTGTCGACTCGTGTCGCCGTCTAGAGCGCAACATCATGAGCAGCATCACCGGCAGCAGGCACAACTACGAACAAGGCCAACCCAAGCCTCAGCTCGGGGGGTGCACAGCCCACCAACCACAACAACGAAACCACAGGGGCGGGGCGGGGAAGGGCACCACCACATACCATGGGGTGGTAGGGGGAGGGGGGGTTGTGGCAGCCCTGCATCATATATGTGAGCCCGGTTCCGGGTGTGTCGAGCCCCCCCCTCCCCTGCACGCTCGACTGTAAACATGCTGAATGCCTGTGACGATGAACACTTCCAAGGCGGCTCCAATAACCGTCAACCGTCACGAGGATGTCGTCCCAAACACAACCGATCCTTGTGACAGTGGAATATTTTTCACCACGACTCCTACATTAGGGTATTACAAATGCAACTGTCATGAGGATAACGCTCCTGTGCTGCAACCCATGCCGAGTTAATATCAGGTTAACACTTGTTGCTGTATTTTTCATGTCGTCCTGCCTTACTGCTCAAGCCACACCAGCAGCAGTATACAGATAATGATCATGACTGGAAGAGCTAGTCGGTGCAGTAGTACAAAAGAAACAGAAAACCAACCGCGCCGTAGCAGTTAAGCGCAAGTTCTGTCTTCAGTAGTTACTACGGCTTATTTTATTGAGAAGGGGATAGAAGCAACCCAAAAACACGTACATGCGAACGAAGTATTCACTAGCGACTAGGCCACGAAATGTCATGCTAGAATAAGTGTCAGTTTGACTAGAATATTTTGCTGACTGAAAAATTCTGAACATGACATCGCAGTTGGGTTAGATCTCAATCGAATACTCCTTGTCTGTCAATAACTAGTACTTTGGTGAACAAACAGCTATACCTTTAGAACTTGCTAAAATGATGCTGGCATATTGTAAAAAGAACACTCGTCACATAACTTTAATCAGGTATCACGAGAGTCATTCTTTTTCCAAATACCCACTTTGTCCTAGGAAAATGTTTGGTTTTGACAATAGTACCGACTTTTCCCATTGAAAACCAGATAAACGTCTTTCGCAAAAAAGGTTCTTGTTGGTTGTATTGGTTCCCTTAAGGAAAGTTGATCTTGGTTGAAAAGGAATAGTGTTGCCAATTGGCAGTTAGTCTCTGCTCACAACGAAACTGAGCGACTTGCCTGGCGCGTTCTATGTCATGGCTTCCGAAAATTCGGTGTTGGTTTTGGCATTCTTTGACAGAAATGGAAAAGAATAAAGACCTGTCATAATACATAGTTGGCTTGACACGGTATTGCGAAACGAGAGTCAGTAGTTCATGCAGTGGGTTTACGTGTATGTAAACATCTGCATGTACATACATACGCACATGCATACATACATCCATGCGTGCATGCATGCATGCATGCATGCATAAATACATGCTACTTGTTTGCATATTAAACCGCAATTACTTGCTCATTGCCGTATTTACTTGTCTCTATATCTATATCTACATCTGATATATATATATATATATGTGTGTGTTCATATTCTCTTGCATATGATATGTACACAAAAACCATACACATGTATCTATACACATGTATATAATGTGCCTGTGTAGATGGACAGGTGCATAGGCAGATCGATAGAGGACTCAACCTACTTAGCACAGTCTCCACAAGCTAGAGACCGCAGTCTAATTCTTTATTTACCCATAGGCCCAAAGTAGTTCCTTTT